GTTTTGGCATATCTCATCTCGCTTCAGCTATCTCTTCGTGTTTTCGATCTTCGTAGGTGCAGTTTGCTCTAGAAATCTACCTAAGGATATGCCCTCAGCTAGTTACAACTGCGGCACCAATATAAATTGTCGATTTCTGTAATCACATTTATTTACGGAAAAACAGGACAGTGAAGCTATTTAGTATACATGTGGAATTCAACGACTATTAATCTTGTCTCTTGTGCTTACGGTAGAATACGGTAATGCTTCTAGGAGAATTTCACAATATAGATGCACCAACCTTTTAGAAGACGTCACACTAGGAAATTAAGGATGCGGAGTTGTTGTTACGTTTTGATAACAGTGTATATAATACTAAGAAATCATTTATCTGTAACCCAAGTTTTTACGGGTCGTTTTATTGGTGGGTCTCCTTGGGTAACCGGAGGCTCGCTCTCGCGAAGCGGGAGCCCGGAGCACGTTCGCATAGTGTTTAGTAACTTGCCGTGCAGGCTATTGTTTTTGGCAGTGGTTTTCATTCCAAGAAGAAATGCAGCACGTTCACGTAGCGGCTTTGTCATTTGCCGTACGTCATCGGTAGAGTACAAGAAAGGAAATAACGCTAATGGCATGGTTTTCTATTACAGTAATCCGCGCCGCGTTTACGACAATGAAGCGCGAAGAGGTAGCCGTTTGTGCACCCTAAGCTTTAAATCACAACACAATGCCACGGATTACTGTAATAAAAAACTATGCCTTTAGCGTTATTTCCTTTCTTGTCGGTAGAGTTAGTTGCGCCGCCTTCCACTTGATTTAATGATTTTTCTTATAACAACTTCCTGAAACTGGCAGAATGCCAAAGCTTCGCTATTGCGGACGTGGCTGGTTTCGCGGCACAGCTGCGCAACTTCAAGCTCCAGAAGTGACTATCTTGACTGAAACAACCTTTAGTAGTAGTTTGTTGTACACGTTGTAGATTACGGAGAAAATAGGCAAGTTAGCCTTTTTGCGTTATTTTATATATCCACTCGTGTTGTAGATCGCAAACTGATGATATTTCAAAAATTTGCACCGAACAACTCCGACTTCTTCGTGCGCAATTGAAGGTACTATTCGTTCTCATCAGGTCCTATTTTACGTTTGCCCTTCGAAGGATAAACTACGAAGTTACTTTGATGGCGAATGTACTCTGCATGACTTGACGCTCTATACTGGCTTGGAAAAAGAAGCAGTTGCTTTTATATTGGAAAAGTATAATCGAGACAACATTGATAAAGAAGGTATATTTTCAAAGTCATAGTAACATATATCGGGGTCAGTTTCTAAAATATTTACTCAGCGAAAGTCCAAGAGGCTCCGAAGAAAAGCTCGCTTCCCCCAGGGAATCTGGAGAATCGATCGCTGGGCAACAACGTCACCTTTGTCATTCCAAAACTCGACATATCAGATGTGCGCGGTGATGAAGCAAGCCCCGATGATGTCACACCGTAAGTTTTCGCTTATTTGCTTTTTTTTTGCTGTAATTTTCTTTTCAAGAACCCCTCGAGATCCAGTAGATCAAATTCTTCATCAACCTCAGCCATCTCAAACTCCCCATCAACGTCAGCCGTCAACTGTGCAACGTAATTTGGTAGAATCTTATCAAGTTTGTTTAATTGTTTTGCCAAAATTATCGCATTTTATTTTTGCACAAAGTCTTACATTTAGGACCAGGAATCAACTTGTTTGCATAATCAGAGCCCTCGAGAGGTACCAGACAGTTCTGCCGAAATCAGCGATTTGGCAAAGAGAGTGAGTATTGTCTGTCCTTTGTTTCTCGATGTGTGCACTCCTCATCTTTTAGCTTGGTGCGCGACTTTTTCAAGACACTTCAATTCTTGAGCAGCTCCGAAGCGTCAA